TTTCTTTCATTCTCTGTCACCAGGACATTTTACCTCCAAATACCTGCCACATTTGAGCCATATCTACTGTCAATTCTCTAACTTAGCCCTTCATTATATCTTGCCCAGTCTGTTTTAATTTCTCTTGATCATTATTACTACTTTTAAGTTTATTTTCTTTTAATCCTCCTTTATAGAGTTGAGATTACACCACAGCCTTGACTTTTTCTCTGCTCAGAGACTTCAATGGTTCCTTGTCTAATAAACAAAGTTCAAATTCCTTGACAGAGTTGTAAAAGCCTCTTCATCTTCCTCTAACACACATCTCTCATTCCACAATCTCCCTTTACCAATTATTTCTTCAACCTATGTCCTCCACCTCACTGGAATGCAAAGCATACAAATTAATAGCTTGATAGTACCTCCATCATGCTGCATTCTATACCAACAGTTCACCTTTGCCACAAACTATCTCACAGCACTTTATTTATACCATATTATAGCACTTACTGCATTTTATAGGCTGGTATGATTAATTATAAATCTCTATCTCTAGAGTTGGGATATGATAAATGAATGAGGAAATCAATAGATAGTATATAAAGCAACTTTGAAAGAAAATAAGTTGATTCAAAATCTGAATGATTAAAATTTTATACCAATTAAAAGATTACTAAGTGATTAAGGCTTCTGCTACATATCCCTATATCACAAGGATAATAAGCCAAGGTAACTCTTGGGAGGATTCCTTTAAGTTTGTTATTTTATCAAAAGCTTTTTTAAAAGTAACAAGTATCACAGCATGGATGGACCTGGAGATTTATGCTAAGTGAAATAAACCAAAGAAAAATACCATGATTTCACTTATATGTGGGACATAATGAACAAAATAAACAAACAAAATAGAACTAGATTCACAGATCCAGAGAAGAGATTGACATCTGTCAGAAAAAAGGGGGTTGGGGGGAGGGGGGGCGTGGATGAAGATTAAGCAAAAAAAAGCAAACAAAATTCATGTACACAGACAACAGTATGGTGATTACCAAAGGGAAAGGGGGTGGGGGAAGTAGAAGAGGGTGAAGGGGAAATGAATGGTGATTGAAAGAGACTTTACTCTGGATGGTGAACACACAATACAAAACACAGATGATGTATTATATTATAGAATTGCACACCTGAAAACTATACAATTTTATTGACCAATGTCACCCCAATAAATTCAATAAAATATTTTAAATAAATAAACATAATAAAAGTAACAAGTAGCAAACTGTGGGATCACTTAATTTAAGACAAACTCAAAACCTAACTCAGTACTAAACAAAACTGCCCACATGCTTATCTATGTAGGCCTTCTTGGGCACATGATTCTGCTAACACAGAACAATTTCACTAAGGAAAAGAAAATACGTAAAAAATTATTTAAATATATGGTACTTCCTGTCCCAAGGGCCCAAGAAAGATATTATTCTCAAACACAACAAATAGTTGTATATAATCCAAGCTTCTTTGATTGACAAATTTTAAAATATATATTATGGTCACAATGAAATTATAGAAATAGAGAATGAATTATATGCCAGACTTGACAAATGTGCTAAATGTACTGAGGATAAAAGGCACAAAAGGCTGTTTGGCATCGTTTTCTAAAGACTTTTAAAACTCAGTAACGTAATTTCAAATAAATGACAAGAACAGTGAAACAAAATTGCATACAGGTACTCAAAATGCTTTGCTCTCTGCCATCAATTAATTATTTTATAATTTCCTGAACTGCCACACATAATCAGTACATTTAGTATCTATTAGATAGAAAATGGTTTCCTCCATTTTTCATCACCTGGCTAAGATGCTTCTGAAAATCATGTTCAGGAACCTCACATTAATAAATTATCACTCCTACCATACTGATTAGCAATCATTTCCTTACCCTCACCTCAGCACTTCTAGCAAGAGTACCATAATGATGTTCGTAAAGGCAATGGCCAGCAGAATCCAAACAGACAACTATGTCAACAGTGGCCAGAAAACAAGGGGGCAGTTCTCTACTTTGCTGCCACTGTACTTTGTGTAAGTCTGCATCACAGCCCTTTCCATTCTAAATGGCAATTATGCATTTTTATGTCTGGCTCTGTTGCTGGTCTCTGAAGTCCCTGACAGATTAGGGGTAGAGTTATATCTTATCTAACTTTGCAACCCCAGTATAAGCACTTAATAGGGACATAGTAGGCTCTCAATAAATATTTTATTATATAGTGCTTAAAAAAAAACACCCATCTTTGCAACAACTTTGGAATGGACTCTACATTTCAAATGTATTTGAGTTCAAATGCGTATTCACGAGTAATAGTCCTATCACTGTACCAACTAGAAATGAACTAACTTGAAAGAGTTTGGTGTCAGCTACTGAGTTATACTAACAGAGAACTAAGGCCAGAAAATATGAGATGCTTTGGGATATGCTACTATTCTTTTCCTCAGTAAATTTACTATGCTAATTCTATGCAACTCAAGTTTTGCATCTTATAAGGAACACAACTGAACAATTACTCTCTTCTCCTCCCAGTGACCTTGCACAGAAAGACTTCCTTCTGAAAACATAACAATTAGAACTGGAATCTCAGTTGGCCATTTTAAATTCTAGAAGTCAGGGAAACGGACACAGTTACTGGACCGCTTCATATCCCTTAACCCTGCCCTTTACATAACTACCAGTTAAACCTGAAATTATGATTTTCTGTTATTCAGAAGCTAAATTCATACTATTGCAATTACTTTACAAAACAGTTAGGTGATGTGTCAAGGGATTAACTTTTGGATTACTAGTAAAGTTCCTGATGTAATTACTGGGACAATGTTGAGAATCTGAACTACTTCCTTCACCACTGACAAAAATAGATGAAAAGATAAACACATGTGAGGATTGCTTGTGCACTACACAATTAAATAAAAATATATTTTCAGTTAGTAATGATCAATTCCTTTTTTATTAATGTGCAATAGAATAGTAACAAACATACTGAACTCTTTTATAATGATTTATGTAGTTTCCTTCCAGAAAGCCCACAAATGTATTCATAAGTGCACAGAACAATTTTCATCACTGACAATGAAGACAAATAGGTTAAAAACCATACAGTGCACCTTTGCCAACACCCACACCCACATTCCACTAAGTAAAGACTTGAGATAATTGATTTCCTTACAAGTCAAGTTTCTCACATGAAGAGGCTAAACCCAAATCTACAAAAGGGTTAATAAAATAAACAATGGTAGAAGCTTAGCTATTAAATATCCATCTATATTACCATAAACCATGGTGAAATAATTAAAAGTAGATACAACTTACGTTAACCATAAGTTACAGACCAAAATTAATGGAGACATTTTTTAATGTTTCAAAAAGAATAACTGTATGTTAACTATAGCTCACCGCTTCCTTACATAAATCTTGTTCATTTGCTGTCCTATACAAATTCTGACCACTCAAAGAAGGGGGTGGTGTGGGAGGAGCAGCTCCCGGGCAGAATCTGACCCGTTTTTTGTCACTCGTGTAACAGATAAGTTAGAGAAAAACCTTGCATTCCTTCTCGTATACCCAAATAATGATTTCAGCAACGAGTGATCTTCAATTGCATACATTTTAGAAAAGGAAAGACAGCTAGTCTTGTGCCTGCCAAATGCATGCAATTTTTCCAGCTGCATACTCCTCATTCTTAAGTATCCAATGCTAAAAACCAAAACCTGACCTCAAGCAGCAAGTTGCAGTTCTGACACTATGATGTCATTCTGTCTGGACCACTTTAAGATCACAATTTGAATAAATTGGCAGAAGCTTAAATAGGTCACACTGAAGCCCAAAGCTAATGATATTTATCTGGCAAAAATATTCTGGCTCTGCAGTTAGCACCGCCAGCCACAGAATGGCAGGCCTATCATTCATCTAACCACCTGTACTTTCCATAAGGATAAATGAAAATAAAGTAAATCTTATCACCTTCCTGTATTTGCTAATGCCACCGACAGTGGCTTTTTATGGCAAATATTTGCACACAGTTACAAACCAAAGTAAAGGTGACTGATACTATTTGATTTCATGAAGGCTTTAGCATATCCCTGCAAAATAATTCTTTTTAAACCTCCATTTCCACAATAATTAAGTTATCAAAAACCCTGAGTCAAGAAAGATTAGAATTAGCCCCAAATATCTATGAAGTAAAACCATAAGGTGCTAAGAACATTTAGGGGAAAGTACTATTGCTTCAAAAGCAAGAACTATTAATTCTGGATCTGACATCTTGCTTCATTTTTTCTTGTGAAATTGTAGTTCATCTGAAAGCAACATGCAGAAACCACAGTGGTTTCTGATTCTCAGCCCCACACTTCCATCATAAATTTTCCTTTCACGATAAACAATGTGCAATCAAAAGGTTTCCTGTTTCAAAATGGAATAGATGAAAGAAACTTTAACTTTACCATTAACAACAACGACAAAAAAGTTTCTTAATGAAGATGCTTTATCAAAGAAGAAAATGGAAATTCTCTCAAATACTGCTTCCTCATCTAAGGACTAATCTTTTTCCCCTGTAAATATTCTCCGCATCACACATTGTGGTTGTCATGAATGGTCCATCAAAGACTTCTTAAATTGCCTGTTTGCACTCTTTTGTTATCTAATTAATAGCAACACAGCCTCACATTGGAGAGAACTAACATTTCCAAAGTATTCTATGGCCATGCACCTGACAAAGAACAACCAACAGTAAAAACTTTACATATGTGAGTCATATAGAGGAACTTTGAACCTTTAAGAGTAGGACAAAGGGGGAAGGGGGGGAGGAGTCTGCTCTGAACCCAACTTTTCAAAAACACAGAGTGGATGTCAAACAGACTAAAAGAGCCAATCCAAATTAAAAGATTGTTGCCACAATAATAATTATTATTAATTACCAGTATAAGTAAAACTGAAGAAGCCATATCCTGGGTGACTAGGTCTAAGTACAGGCACAGACAGAACTTACCACTTTGTCCATGAGTTTCCAAGTTTTCTCCACAGTTCTGCGATCTGCTGCTGCTTGCTTAGGGGGTCCAACTGCATCTTGAATGGCATCAATGATGCCCAAAATCCGTCCTTTTCGGGGGTTTCCTCCACGACCACCAGGGTTTCTGCCATTCATAGAATTTGCCATCTAGAATCTCAGTTCTTTGAGAGGAAATTAAAAAAAAAAAAAAAAAAAAAAAGTTAGTTGGTCGTGAAAATACTTAAGAGAAAGCAGGCCTGGTTAACTTGCACCCACTCTCTGTTCCTACATCGATGAGAACAAAGCCCAGGGTCCCAGACTCAACTTTTCAAAAGTGTGCGGATTTGCCCTCTGAGTTTCTACACAGCTTAGGAGCCAAGAGCTTAGACTTGCATTTGGGACTCTAAGAGTTAAAAAGGCATCCTTCTCACATTTCAAGTAGGGAAGGCTTGATTAATACCCAAGTCATAACAACAAACAAAAAAAAAAAACTTACACAGGTTTCCTCCAACTGGTTAAGAACACAATGTTCTCGCCCTTGCTCGCCTTAATTCCAATTCAAAAATGCTAGACCCGGGAAACATTTGTGAGAGCCTTACTCCAAAACCGCCCTTTCACTCCGATTTTACCAAGTTACAGAATAAACGTAAAGATTTTCCTACAGAAGCGTAAGGGGCACACATGTCTGTTGTCCACAAAGGCTCAGAACTTGGCTATTTCCCGTTAAAACCGCCAATGACCGACCCCCTGAGCAAAGGAGACAGGAACACACAATCCTCTAAACCAACGCGGTGAGGAGTTCACCCCAAGTTAAGACCCTTCCCCCACCCCATCCCTTCCACCCCCCCCCCCCAAAAAAAAAGAACTAGAAACCAACCAACCAACCAAACCCATTTCTAACAGAGAGGGTGAGAAACTGACTAGAGCGGGCACAGAAAGAAAAGAGTTCACTTCTTTCGCTCCCGGCCTCTCAGCTCCCCCTCAGGGGGTGGGGAGCGTCCAGAGCTTTGTTTGGGGGACGCCCCGCGCCCCCTTCCCAGCTCAGGGTCCCCGCCTGTCACTTTGGGACCTTCGCTGGGAGAGGAAGGGGGACACAGAGAAAGGACAAAGTATCCCCTGGCGCCTCCGCCAGCGCCCGAGCCCCCTCCGTCCGTCCGGGGCGCTCTAGGTCCGGCTCCCCAGGGCACGCACCCCCCCGGGAGGGAGTCTGCAACCCCGGCGCCCGGCCGCCCGGCCGCCCCGCTCCCTCTCCCCCTCCCGGGCCCGGCCCGCGATCCGGGCTTTCATACCCGCTCCGGGCCGAGCCCGCAGCCGCGGCGGCGACAGCTGGGGCCGGGGCCGCCCCCTCGTCCTCGGTGGCCCGCGCCGGGCCAGCCCCGGGGCCCCCGGGACAGAAAGAAACAAACGCCGATTCTCCGCGGCGCCCCCTTCCCGCCCGGCCCCGCCGCGCCGTCTCGGGCCGGAGACACGCGTGTGCGCGAGTCCGACTCCTCCACGCGCAGAGCCCCCGGAGCGCGGGCAGCCCCCGGGCGGGCACAAGCGGCGGCAAACGCCAAGCTCGGGAGGAAGGAGCCCCCCCAGAGCGCGAGCCCACGAGACGGGGAGACGCCACAATTACCGTCAAGACCAATCCACACCCGCTCTGTCCTCCCGCCCGACTCGGGAGGCCGCGGGACGCCGCGGCGGCACTAGCGGGAGGAGGAGGAGGAGGCCACTCGCTGGACACTCCACCCCTGTACTCCACACACACAGAGGGACGGGGCGCGGGGCGGGGCCGGGGGCGGGGCTGCCGAGGGGTGGGCCAATCGCGTAGGCCGGGGCGCTGCCAGACAGCGCGGGGCGCCAATGGGCGGAAGGTGCCTGTTCTCTCGCAGCCGCCCGGTCCACGTCTTCCACGGTACACAATGGCCCCAGAGGAAGGGCCGCTGGCCGCCCGGCCCAAAGGAAAGAGGGACTCCAAGGAAAATGGGGGAGGCTGGTCTCACCCGAGAACGAAAGTGGAAAAGGGAAAGGAAATGGAAAAAATTCAAGGCACGAGGGAGAGCTGACCAATAGGGAGTGCGCCGGTGGGCGTGAGCGTTGGGGGAGCTGGAGCCCGAGCCAACTGGGGCTCGAAGGCGGGACTTCCTGCTTCGCTCACCTTCCTAGTCTTTTGTCTCATAGCAACGGAGTGGAGCCTGAGAGGCTGTTGCTCCTCCACCTGGGCGTGTCCCAGGCCCGAGAATTTCAGTTCCCTGGGGCTGCCAAACTCTTCTACCCAGGACAGCAGCCACCACCGAGGTCCAGGCTTTGCTTCTTGTTGGCTATCAAAGAAAGAGCTAAGGTCACCCCAGTTTCCAAGATGAAGCGGAGACTTCACATAGACTGTGATTGCCAAACAAAACTTCCTAAATTCCAGAGTGTTTTCCTGTTACAGTTAAAATTCTGGAGGGATTGCAGATCAAATATCAGGCTAAGGAGAAAGCAGATAGTTAACTCCACTGGCCAAGCAGTCTCCACTATTCCTGCCAGGGCAGTGAAACCGATAAAGGGAATTGCTAATAGATGCATTGCCCCTTTCATTGACTAGAAGTGTCTGCATTAAGTGACTGAAGAGGAAACAGTTTTTGTATTTTGTTCCAGTCACCTTCACCCTATGAAGGTTTCTCTCCATCATAAAAAAAAAAACAAGCTGTAAAAGATTCAGAAATTGCCAACGTAAAACCAATGAATCACTGGAGTAGAAATTGGTAAAAATTTGTTGGGCCACACCTCCATCCCCCCCCTTCGCCCCCCCAAAAAGTTTGCAAACTGGGAATACTCAAACCAAAGCATGGAATGAGGCTCGGGGTATACCACTACAGAGCAGCCTATGGAGTGAGAAAGCAGTGTCTTCACAATGAATGGTAATTAAGCTAAATTAATGACTAGACTGATTTTGTCTTCTTAGGGAAGCTTCAAAGCTATTCTCCATTTGCTTTTGATTTTAACACACCTTATTGCATCTGCTGTTCTCTCCCAGCACTTGTATTCTCTCTTTCTGGTCTCCATATACCATTCAAAAGGCCCACATCTGGCTAGTCTTACAAGGAAAAAGCTACTGTATTGGAACTCTTCTTTCAACAATATTATAGATTAAACATGCCTTCTATTTTTTTTTTTTTTTTTTCTGTTTAACTTCAATCTTACCACAGGTGCTACTGAAAATTGCCTTAGATTGTTATGCTTTGGAATTTTCTTTTCACTACAGTTGGTAGTATTAAATAAACTTTACACTGTGGGCTTCTCAGATATTGTGATATATATTCTTTCTCTAAACTGGTAAAATGTTTCTCAATGGTTCTAACCACTTTCTACCTAAACAGTCATTTTAGTAACATGATTATTACTATCAACGATCCCAAGTTCTTATAAACAGACTTTAAGCCCTAAATTCAAATGATTAAGATTTGCATGTGATTAAAACAGGCAAAACGTGTTCTTTGCAAGTACTAAGATGATAAAACGTAGTTCAGGAAGTAATTTTGTTTCTTTGCCATTATTTCTGTGCCGATAATTACAGAGTAGTTCCTTGTTTTCACATTGTGTTTATCTGCAAAAGTACTGGCCTCTCCATATCTCCTCTACCCATACGTATCTCCTTTACTTATAGTAACAGAAATTACATTCTCTGCTGAAACTGGTTTGGCTCAGTTGATAGAGCATCAGCCTGCAGACTGAAGGGTCCTAGGTTCAATTCCGGTCAAGGGCATGTACCTTGGTTGCTGGCACATCCCTGGTGGGGTGTGTACAAGAGGCTGATCCATGTTTCTCTCTCATCCATGTTTCTAACTCTCTATCCCTCTCTCTTCCTCTCTGTAAAAAATCAATAAAATATATTAAAATAAAAGAAATTACATTTTCTAAGAGAAGACTGCAAAAGGAAAGAAACATACACCTATATTAGATCACCTTTTAAATAAATCCAAAAATATAAAAACTGTATGTATGAAGTTTTCAGGATGTGCAAAAACAGTGGCTTAAGGGAATATCGCAAGTACATTATTCACATTTATATCTACTAGTAAATACATGTAGAATAAATAAAATACATGTGATAGCAGTGGCATTTCTTTTATATTATTTTTTTCAACTGAAAGAAAAATTACAAGTTTTATGGGATATGGTAATACATATATATATGTATGTATATATGTATGTATATATATATATACACACACACATACCTATACAAAACACACACATAATATCAAGAAGTTACAGCTTCATTCTCAACTAGCTATTTTATTAAAGCCAACTAGAGTTCAAGTTAAGTTCTGGTGTAGCAGGGTTTCCATTTGAGCCCAAAGTCTAGTTTGGTTATTTCTGATGAGCTAATGAGACAGTATTCTTCCCTGAAAACTATTAGCATGAGTTGACGCACATGGAAGAATAAAAACTGTTGAGATAAAATTTCATATCCCAGATGCCTCCAGTGAAGACACAAGGGATGGAGCATAAAAAAAGGAATGTATATGAAGGGGCTATAAAGAACATATAGAAATGTTTTCATTAGAGACTTTGTGATACTCAGAGCATAAGCAGTAGCACATCAAGGTGACAGTTTGCTAGAGAAATACTCTCCTTATTTCTAAACAGAAAAAGCCAATCTCCCACAGGGTGTGGCTTAGCATGAAAGTAGTCTCCTTTGGCAGCATGGTGATTTGTAGCCTACAGTGAACTTGGATTTGGCATTTTTACAGGAGAGGCGTGTTCTCCTGGAAGATATTACATGCAGCAGAATGATGAGACAGTTTACGTAAGAGTCTTGCAAGCACCATAGCGGGCAGTAGGTGATTAATAGAATCAAAATGATCATAAGCACATGTGAGACCCTGCCCACAGAATTCCCAGGAAAGATTGGGAGATTTTGTGGCAGAGGTACTGAGAAATTTTGTAATGGTATCTATAAACCCTGCAATTTGAGCATTAATACTTGACATTAGTATTTGTATTCACTGAAAATGAAGATGATTACATACTTAAAACAGGAAAAAATGTTTAGAACACAACTATTTGGGGAAAATATTTAAAGTGTTTTCATTCAGTTCAATTTTTCTTTTTTCTTTTCTACTTTCCCCAAACTCACAGGTGACTTGTGCTATTGAATATGAGTTGACTAAATAACAAAGCGTTCCAATAATTTATTT